CAGTAGAGTGCTAGTCAGTATCCACTGAATAGCCAGTAGAGTCCCAGTCAGTATCAACTGGATAGCCAGTAGAGTCATAGTCAGTATCCACTGGATAGCCAGTAGAGTCCTAGTCAGTATTCACTGGATAGCCAGTAGAGTCCTAGTCAGTATCCACTGAATAGCCAGTAGAGTCATAGTCAGTATCCACTGGATAGCCAGTAGAGTCATAGTCAGTATCCACTGGATAGCCAGTAGAGTGCTAGTCAGTATCCACTGGATAGCCAGTAGAGTCATAGTCAGTATCCACTGGATAGCCAGTAGAGTCCCAGTCAGTATCAACTGGATAGCCAGTAGAACCATAGTCAGTATCCACTGGATAGCCAGTAGAGTCCTAGTCAGTATCCACTGAATAGCCAGAGTCATAATCCACTGGATAGCCAGAGTCCTAGTCAGTATCCACTGAATAGCCAGAGTCCTAGTCAGTATCCACTGAATAGCCAGTAGAGTTATAGTCAGTATCCACTGCATAGCCAGTAGAGTCATAGTCAGTATCCACTTGATAGCCAGTAGAGTCACAGTCAGTATCCACTGGATAGCCAATAAAGTCCTAGTAAGTATCCACTGGATAGCCAGAGTCCTAGTCAGTATCCAGTGGATAGCCAGGGTCATAGTCAGTATCCACTGGATAGCCAGTTGAGTCATAGTCAGTATCCACTGGATAGCCAGTAGAGTCAGTCAGTATCCACTGGATAGCCAGTAGAGTCATAGTCAGTATCCACTGGATAGCCAGTAGAGTCATAGTATCCACTGGATAGCCAGTAGAGTCATAGTCAGTAGCCACTGAATAGCCAGGACAGTCATAGTCAGTATCCCCTGGATAGCCAGTAAAGTCATAGTGAGTATCCACTGGATAACCAGTAGTCATAGTGAGTATTCACTGGATAGCCAGTAGAGTCATAGTGAGTATCCACTGGATAGCCAGTAGAGTCATAGTCAGTATCCACTGGGTAGCCAGGAGAGTCCTAGTCAGTATTCACTGGATAGCCAGTAGAGTCCTAGTCAGTATCCACTGAATAGCCAGTAGAGTCATAGTCAGTATCCACTGGATAGCCAGTAGAGTGCTAGTCAGTATCCACTGGATAGCCAGTAGAGTCATAGTCAGTATCCACTGGATAGCCAGTAGAGTGCTAGCCAGTATCCACTGGATAGCCAGTAGAGTCATAGTCAGTATCCACTGGATAGCCAGTAGAGTCATAGTCCATATCCACTGGATAGCCAGTAGAGTCATAGTCAGTATCCACTGGATAGCCAGTAGAGTGCTAGTCAGTATCCACTGGATAGCCAGTAGAGTCCTAGTCAGTATCCACTGGATAGCCAATAGAGTCATAGTCAGTATCCACTGGATAGCCAGTAGAGTGCTAGTCAGTATCCACTGGATAGCCAGTAGAGTCATAGTCAGTATCCACTGGATAGCCAGTAGAGTGCTAGTCAGTATCCACTGGATAGCCAGTAGAGTCATAGTCAGTATCCACTGGATAGCCAGTAGAGTCCTAGTCAGTATCCGCTGGATAGCCAGAGTCATAGTCACTATCCACTGGGTAGCCAGAGTCCTAGTCAGTATCCACTGAATAGCCAGAGTCATAATCCACTGGATAACCAGAGTCATAGTCAGTATCCACTGAATAGCCAGTAGAGTTATAGTCAGTATCCACTGCATAGCCAGTAGAGTCATAGTCAGTATCCACTTGATAGCCAGTAGAGTCACAGTCAGTATCCACTGGATAGCCAGTAGAGTCATAGCCAGTATCCACTGGATAGCCAGTAGAGTCATAGTCAGTATCCACTGGATAGCCAGTAGAGTCATAGTCAGTATCCACTGGATAGCCAGTAGAGTCATAGTCAGTATCCACTGGATAGCCAGTAGAGTCATAGTCAGTATCCACTGGATAACCAGTAGTCATAGTGAGTATTCACTGGGTAGCCAGGAGAGTCATAGTCAGTATCCACTGGATAGCCAGTAGAGTCATAGTCAGTATCCACTGGATAGCCAGTAGAGTCATAGTCAGTATCCACTGGATAGCCAGTAGAGTCATAGTCAGTATCCACTGGATAACCAGTAGTCATAGTGAGTATTCACTGGATAGCCAGTAGTCATAGTGAGTATTCACTGGATAGCCGGTAGAGTCATAGTCAGTATCCACTGGGTAGCCAGGAGAGTCATAGTCAGTATCCACTGGATAGCCAGTAGAGTCATAGTCAGTATCCACTGAATAGCCAGGACAGTCATAGTCAGTATCCCCTGGATAGCCAGTAAGGTCATAGTGAGTAATCACTGGATAACCAGTAGTCATAGTCAGTATCCACTGGATAGCCGGTAGAGTCATAGTCAGTATCCACTGGATAGCCAGTAGAGTCATATTCAGTATCCACTGGATAGCCAGTAGAGTCATAGTGAGTATCCACTGGATAGCCAGTAGAGTCATAGTCAGTATTCACTGGATAGCCAGTAGAGTCATAGTCAGTATCCACTGGATAGCCAGTAGAGTCATAGTCAGTATCCACTGAATAGCCAGTAGAGTCATAGTCAGTATCCACTGAATAGCCAGTAGAGTCATAGTCAGTATCCACTGAATAGCCAGTAGAGTCATAGTCAGTATCCACTGAATAGCCAGTAGAGTCATAGTTAGTATCCACTGGATAGCCAGTAGAGTAATAGTCAGTATCCACTGGATAGCCAGTAGAGTCATAGTCAGTATCCACTGGATAGCCAGTAGAGTCATAGTCAGTATCCACTGGATAGCCAGTAGAGTCATAGTCAGTATCCACTGGATAGCCAGTAGAGTCATAGTCAGTATCCACTGGATAGACATTGTAGTATTATTTTATAATGTTTGCTTCATATTGTCTTGAAATCTTCTACTAAGTCATTATTGTCTGTCAAATTGTCACTTTCAATAATGGCACTTTTACCGTCAAATTTCACTATTTTCCGTGATTTACTTTTCATTTTGGTTCTTGGTCAAATGATATTTTGTGATTTTTATCTAGGTGATATGGTCAACCTAAGACTAGAAACTCAAAATCCAATATTCAGTGAAAATAAAGGTGATAAAAACTTTTAGGAGCATTTTCAACCAAAAAAGTTTGTTTTTAATCTCAGTAATGTTCTTTTTTATAGACATGTTATGTTGTTATGCATAGCATTAGTTTCAAAAAACTTTGCAATTCTAGTATATTGTTACAAACAACAAACGTATTTCACAGACTGATATGCCCTGGTTTAGTTACATCATTACCTTGTAGCGTGTTACGTTATGTCCATGCATGGAAAGGTGATAACCTCAATATATTACGTATACCTTACTTTAATAGAACAAACAAAAAATGAATTGTCTACTTTCTAGAGCGAAATTCAATAGGCATGAATGTCTTTTATATAAATGTATGTCCTTCAATCATTTGCTGATTTACTATGGTCATGCTTAGGCATTACATTTGGCAAACTCATTTAAAATTTATAAAACATTTAAATATTTTATATAAAAAATTATTCATGCCTTCATGAAATTCAATGTACTGAATATTTGGATTTGAGTATTGATCATTTCAATATGAAATTTAGGTATTCTGGCTCAAATAAATCCACTTAATATTATTAACATTGACTGCCAACAGCAAGTCTACTTATTTGCAAAAAAATTTTTTTTTAATTCAATTTATTTTGAGAATTTCACCTTGAAATTAAATTTTGTAATAGTGAAAATATATGTGAGATAGTTCAGTCACTGACAGTCATAAAAATATTCTCACAAACATTCTTGTATATTTCAACAAAAAATAAGAAAACTTGAAATATAAATCGTATAATATAACATATAATACAGTGAAAGACATAATTAAAGCTGGCAATGTTATAAATGTTTTGTAAAAACACATTTTTGTAAATCTAATGACTGGTAGAATTCAAATTGACCAACTCGGAAATGATATGGCATCATCGTAGAATTTGAACGATAGCTGATGATCGTTATTTAAACATTTTCATAAATACGTTTGTAAGCAAAGTCACGGCTTTGTGCCCTTCACTGTATATCCTGTACTAGTAGTATATCCAGCTAACCATCATATAATATTATGTACACAATCTAAAAATAAACACATAATGTCAAGGTGTTTAAGTCTGTGGAAAAGGTAAAATAATACTGAGATTGTTTGCGCTAAGTGGTGTTTGCACTACAAGTTTGTTATGAAAAGGAAATATGGATTTATTAAATTAATAACGTTATTCAGTATCACTTTGGTTACTAATGAATGTTGAAGTTAAGCATTATTAAAAAGACTGGTAAACAAGAGAAATACAACGTATTGACGGTATGATGTTAAGGTTTATGTAAAGCTGACTGGGTAAAGGCCAGACTTGGTCCAGACGATTGAACACAGAATGTGAGAGTTTGCCATGGTTACTCTATACAGATAGACTTCATAGAAGCTTTATTAATTAGATACTTCAGTTCGACTGTACAATTGCGCACAATATACGCTGTAATATATGCTTAGGAACGTCACGTCCCGTATTTGTGTGTTGGTGAAAGTGTGATAAACTACTTATTCAATTACCTGTATAGGAGCCACAGGCCATCGCTTTTACGTGGCTACTTTGATGGAGAGCCTTATTTGTTATCTCGCCGTTAAAGTCCGCAAAATTAGCGCTTTTGTGAGCACACTCTCCTTGTTTCCTCTGGCACGAACTGAATGACCTTAGTCAAAAAATGTACTCAATTTCAAGTTTAACACTATATGAACAACTGCGTGCAGGTTACATTGAGCTTTTCAGAAAGCTACGGTGTGTTTAAGTGAATGGCAAAGGGTATGAATTAATGTATTTGCATAACCATGGGTATATACACAACAATGGCAACGGGGAGGAGAAGAGCACGACACGGAAGCAATTTAAGACACTGTGGGACATGTAGTGACACACTAAAACTGTCGTGGAAGGCAATGAATTATATTCTCACCTCATTTTCAACCTGATCGCACAATACTTGGATGCATTCCACCGCATGTACTCGTATGGCGAAGTGCAACACGTTCTGACCTCCATCGTCACGTATTTTTGGATCGGATCCACAATCTAACAATTCCGAGACAAGATCGGGTTTGTTGTAGAACACAGCCCAGTGCAAGGATGTTCTTCCCAGGTGATCTCGATGATTCAGGTCAGCTCCAGCGCCAATCAACCGTTTACAACACTGTACATATTCGTTTTTGTTTGAATCCTTTGCCATGCGAGCTCCCTGTACACACTGAATGAGTGGAGTTGCACCATCGTTAGACGTACAGTTGATGTTCACTTTGCTTCCATGTTTCTTCAAAAACTTGTCCAAGGCCTTGCGTTTACCCGAATGTGCTGCGAATAACAGTTCATCTTCTAGACTCATGACTAGTACTGGTATGTTTCCACGAGTCCTACATCATAGTCGCAGTGTACCCCACTGAAGTCCACTCGAAAACAGAGAAATGTGTATTACACTGTTTATATGTTTCTCTACGGACAAGCCGTGTGAGGTCTATCGATATGGTGAATGAGATTCACAACGAGGCTAATGGTTCACGTGACTTTCTTAGGTTATCCCGGTTTAGTTTCCATGGTAACCATGACATTGTCACATACTAGCAAGTTAATGATAGATGAATATGATAAAAGAAAACAAAGTTATCTTTTATGATATTTGATCTTACAGTCCGAAGGTAACGGTCTTGAAGGAATATCATCGTTCAATGAGATAAATGTTTACAAATTGCCATAGCAACGCGATAGTGCTTGGTAAGAATGTCATTAGAATAAACGCTCTTATTTGTCCCTTTAATTTGTCCCCATTTGTCCTCAGACGAAACTCCGAACCGGGAATACGATTACCTGACATGAGAACAGGTATTGGTGTAGTGGACATCGTTGTTTGGATAACCACGTTGCCATGGATATCTAATATGAGTTGCTGCTTTATTTAAAAGACTAAATTCTAATTTATTTGAACTGTTATTTATTATCTATTTAATTTTCATTAATACAGAAAAGTACATATACGTGCATTAATTTGGTCAAATTTTTGTTCAAAAAATACATTTTGTAATAGAGAGTTGCAGAATTTGTTTCCGTAAAAAGAATACAAAACGAAAAATAATATTAAACCGACCACGTGTACATTATAACCCACCTCGTGTACATTGGAAATAGATTGGCTGTTATTTTTCGTTACAAACGACTGAATAAGAATAAAGTGCATTTCACCGGTCCATATAAATAATACAATTAACCACCTTTATTCGAAGTGCAAATAAATGTCTGAAATTAGTCTGGACACTGTTATTTTTATTGCATAGTTCATCCATTGTTCAAATACCTATTCCTATACGTAGAGTTTAGTGGTCAATGTAAGTCACCATTCACGATATAGATCGGGAATGTACAATTATTTGTACTTGATTAAAGTTAATATGACGTTTTGTTTTCACTAAGAATTCATCTACACAATGTATACATACTGTGTACCGTGACCCGTGGTTGCTATGGTGAAATTCATAAAAAGGTCCCAGCCAGTTCAGTTACTACTAGCAACTTTGTACTGATGGGTCTGGAATTATCACGCGTGTACACACAAGGCAAATAATTTAGCGTGACAATTACACAAGTATCAGTCAAACAATATGTTTAGCAATGTGATCATTATTGCAATTCTACACTGTGCATGATTATTATAAAACGTATACCAGTAAAATAACAAAATATTAATAATAATATTTTTTTTAATTTGGGTTATAGTAAAAAATGATAATTTATAAATTCAAATGAATAAAGTCAATGACGCAAGGTCCCATGATGCACAAAGTTCACATTTACACATACACCTTATTATTATTAAAAATACTAGTATATTTAGCTGAAAACAAAGCAGTGTACTTCCAGTCTTTGAGGGCGCTACTCGAACCACAAGCGTTTTGTTCCAATAGTGCTACAAAGCAATGTGTTTTCTGTTATTTCGTAATGCTTGGCATGTATAAAGCACCTAATCTATCTGCATATTGTTTATAAGCTTCACACGAGACAACAAAACTATTCATGAAACAGGAAATCAAAGGCGTTTGATATTGGAAAACTAAAATGGAAACTGAAGTTGACGACAATTCGGAGAAATGCAAATGATATAATGCGGACATCATTCAATGACATAAAACAAAACAAGAATTGTAACTTCAAAAGAAATAAATTCACCAAAAAAATGAATGTCACATTTATCTACAATTTAATTCTTATTTAATTACTTAATTCAAGTACACGTTTTAAATAGTCTAGCAGACAAATGCTCAAAATGCTCGTTTCACCCCTGTAACAAAAAGGTATTACACATTTAACAGTTAGATTTGACATTTGGCGTTCCAAAAATTGTGTTGTGGAGCTGGGTTGCTGAAAAAATTCGTGACAGCCTTTGAAGTCCAACAAATGACAAATCTGTTTTAATTGGTTGATATTCACGTAAAGAACTTCAAAAACATAATTATTTTAATGAAGATTTTAATTCTGAATCAGATATCTCTGTTTTGTTATAACATTTGTTGAATTATTCAGTGAACACTATATCCAAAATTAACATAGTATACATAAAAAAAAGGTAACTTTACCCAGAAATATATTCTGGAAGAAGATTTACAATTAGACGGATTGCTTTCTAGAATAGGAGTATTAATATTAGCAGAGTGGCTACTTCGGGCACTGATGGATTGGAAGAGAGAGAGAGAGAGAGAGAGAGAGAGAGAGAAATGATGATGATGATATTGGATAAAGCATCTGACAAAGACGTGATATTTACCGGAGTCAGTAGCATGAGCGGATTTAGAGGGGGCCGAGGGGGCCGCCACCCCCCTATTTTTAACAACCAACAGGGCTTCGCGCCATCAGCGCTCGCGAACTTGGCCTTCGGCCAACTTATCGCCCCCCCCCCCCCTATTCCAGAATCCTAGACCCGCCCCTGAGTAGAGACACCCGTTTCCATGCTGCAGGTAAACGAGAGCGGGGAAACGTGGTCGCAGCGGTGACTTAGCTGCAGATGACATAGTTCCACGTTAATTGGCTACAAACGGTTGTAATGAAACCATTCTTCATTTTCATGATATTTGTATTTTCAGGTCTGCCATATTTTTTTCAAGTGAAAAATATATGAAAACAATAACAAATTGTAGATAGCCACCCCCTATTTTGCATATTCACCTAAATGAGGTCATTATGAGCGTTAGGGATATCATTTTAATGCATCTCTTGTGATATATCAAATGAAAGGCATTTAAATGTAGAACATTATTCTGCAATGATATTCCAAAAGTAAAGTTACTGTAGTAATGAAAAGTAATGTGACGTATCAAATAAAAGAAGTTTTAATGTAAAATTCTGATATAAATTCAGGGTCAGTTAAACGTTTAAAAAAACTTGGATATGTCTATCAAATTACTCATACAAACTATCATATTCATGATAATTGATTAAAGATCCAGTGACTCACATTACAGATATGTCACTCACAAATCCACCGCCATGTATGCAATATATTAATCACTATGATTAAAATTAGATTGTCGGCAAAAACGAGCCTGAATGTCCTTTCAATTTTGAATAATTTGTTGACCTAGGACGTACGGAATGTTCAGTAATTGAAGTTCGCGCAAACTCAGTCGTAACAAGAGTACACAAATCTTCCTATAAATTCAACGAGGGACACAATCGATAGCAACAGTCTATACTGTGTGGCTATACTACAATTACAACGCCCTCTAGAGCTAGTTCACCGCTAGTTTGATCTATGAAACATACAATCCTATGTGTAAATGAATGTATTGATATGCAGTACGGTTACCAGTAGAACCGTGTATGCAGCTAGAAGCTTCAATCTGATTAAAATCCCATGTAGGTATGAAGCTCCATTTTTTTATATGATCCTTTATATAATATTTATATGTATTTTTGTTTGAATATGTCGATTTTTTGGTTTTACTTAAAAAAATCAGATTGATAGCAGCTGGTGGTTCGTTGATTGTAATGAGCAAGAATTCGATGACCATTATTTCATTAGGAAAACAGTAATATTCCAACTTAACACAAGGTTTGTAAAGTGAACATCGCATTCTCCCAAAACTCAATCGCATACACGTACACCTAAAGTAGCCAAGGAGATAATGGGTACGCTCATTTGATAACCATGCGTGGTTGTGTGAACAATGGAAACTTGTGTATATTGTGAGGTATATAATTATCAGAGAATCAGCTTGTGATATTTAAAGATTCCAACTCGGACAAATTAGAGTGTCCTGTAAACCATTAATGGCCATCAATTTTAATTTCTTACAAAAAATGTGAGATCCAGCAAGAAGTTGACCTATTACGCGCACAGTGCTAGACGATATCCAACTTATAACACTAATACAAAAGGTCTATTTTAAGATGGCAATTATATTCATAACAGATGACACTGAAATGACCATTCTAATGTTCGTTTTTGTCAAGAATCCACGACAGCTCAGCCATTAGAGGTTCTACCAAGTTTGGTTGATATATTGGGCTTCAAATCCACCCTTGGCAAACATTCCAGACGTTGCACCGAAATAAGCGGCACAGGCTGCAACGGTTTCCTAAGATTGATTCAAGTCTACACAAAGGCAAACATATGTTTACACATGATATTCAGTGGGATCTATAACTCGGGTCATAACGGTTGTCTCTCCTTTTTATCTACCTTTGCATATACTATCTGTATCATACTATATACAATGATGGTATATTCATCTATACTATATATAATGATAGTGTATCCATTCATACTATATATAATGATAGTGTATCCACCCATACTATATACAATGATAGTATATCCATTATTACTATATACAATGATAGTATATTCATCCATATAGTATACAATGATAGTGTATCCATTCATACTATATATTATGATAGTGTATCCATTCATACTATATACAATGGTAGTGTATCCATTCATACTATATACAATGATAGTGTATCCATCCATACTATACACAATGATAGTGTATACATTCATACTATACACAATGATAGTGTATCCATCCATACAATGATAGTGTATCCATTCATACTGTATACAATGATAGTG